CTGATAAGTGCTAAAAACTCAACTACTATCCTCCATTATATAATCATTCAAGAGAATAATCAAAATAAAGACATTTTCAGACAAAAACCAAGAGAATTTATCATTCAAAGGCCCTCCTAGAAGTAGCCAGTAAAGAATATATTTCAGTAAAAAGGAAACAATCTGGAAGAAAAGGGATGATACAAGAAGTAACAATGAAGATAAATTGGTAAGCATGTTTGCAAATCTATGTAAACATTGGTTATAAAAATTTAAAAACGAATCTGGAGCAAGTTAAATATAAACCAGGTCTAAATCATAAGACAAAAAAATCAGAATTTAATCATTGGTGAAAAATCTATCCATAAACAAACCATGAAATTCAATTGGTTTTATTACAGGTGTGTTTTTACAACCTACAGGGAACAAACAAGTTTAGACAAAAGGTTCTCTGTATACTTCTTAAAGCTTCAAGATATGTGAAAAACAAAGCATCCCATTAATGATAAATATTTTTGTCATTGTTAAAGTTGATGTAAAGAGTAACATTTTTGGTGAAAAATATTATTTTATAATAATAATATGCTATTATTTTAAAAGGTACAAAAATCTTTCTGTGGTAGAGTTGCAGTGGTAAAATTCTAGAAGGCACATGAACTGGTCCTTAGAAAGAATATGAGAAAGCTGTTGAAAGTCATCCTTCAGACAGAAAACAGGAAATCTATGGTTAGCCCAATGGAAAGAGATGGAGACTTTGAGACAAAAGAATCAGAACTCTCTTTTTAGCTTTATTAGGGGCAAACACATGCCATCAGGAAGACCAGGCGTTAGAAGTGCATTTAAAGTGAGATGGGGTGAAGACCACGAGCTTCAACCACTGACCAACTAGCTGGTGAATATGCTTCTGGAAAAGCAAAAATGACACAGAGAAAGAAATAAAGGGCAAGAATAGAGTTTCCCCAGAGATCAAGATCTCAGTAATTCAGGCAGGCATTATCCAAGGAAACTCTCTGGTTTCATATTTCAAATACAGGACAGCCTGGGCCCCAGAGGAGAAGCCTTCATGGACCACACTGCTTTGTCTTCCTCTTAAAATAATAATACAAGTTACTTAATTTCAAGACAACAGGATGGAGGGAAGTGGGAAATTCTGTATCCTGACCCCAAGGTTAAGGGCAAAGGAAATAAAAAGGGCAGGGTGAGTGGTGACACCTGGGAGTCAAACCGACCGGCTCTACAAGACCACATATAAATGAAGGGGCATCTGGGGAACCACTGAGGACAAACGAGGGGCATCTGATACTTTAAACAGCAGGGGACCCAGTGCTTTGTCCTTGAACCTTGAATAGAAGTGGAATGAATGGCCAAGTTCACCCAGCTTAGGGCAAATCCCATGACCCATTTCACAGGCAAGAAAGTCAGAGGAGACAATCTTAACACTCCAGGAAATTTTTCTCTTCTGAATTCTTTGGCTACCTATTTTTCCAGGCTGTAGAGCACCATCCCTGTGGGCAAAGTGTGCGTTCATAACTGTTAAAAAAACAAACAAAAAAAACAGTTGCTGAAAATATAAATATTCAAAATGAAAAAGCAATAAGAGTTCACATGTTGAGGACCTAAGTGAAAAACAAACTGGGAGATGTTTCTTGCCAAAATTTTAAAAACTTTTCAAAGCTGTACTAAATTTGCCATGTTCTTTTATTTATTTAACCTATTTCACTTACACATACACAATATCATCATCACTTTGGGAAACTTTATAACAACAGGACTTTCTTTTGACCACATTATTAGGAAGTTGATTTTCCCTGATAACCAGACAAAAACAATGAAAAGTCAGGTCAAATCATTCAACACTGCCAAAAATGCATTTTCTCGCTTTTGATTGTTAATACTTCTAAGGTTATATTTATTGTGTTGCAATCTAGAGAACTTTCTGAGTTCACCATCAGGCATGATTTTTAAAATTTTATTTTTCAGTTACAGTTGCCATACAATGTTATGTCAGTTTCAGGTGATTTAAACCTCCTACAAAGGTTATCAGGAGCCTCCATTTTGGGTAACCTGATTTAACCTTGTTCCGACTAATCACTTGCAATATTTCTCCATGTTCTCTGGGGTAGGTAAGTTCAGGTACACTAGGTACAGGCATAAAAGTGCCCCAAATAGAAACCATGGCATTTTGCATGAGTTAATACTCCTGTTACCTCATAGCCTCACCTCCCCCTCCGCACAGCTCAAGTCATCATTCTCCCCAGATATGAGCAAACTAAGTCATATAAGTCACCCCAAATAAGTTTTTCCAGTGCAAAAGTTCAAACAGAATTTGAATGACTAGAAGACTATTTAATGGGCTGTGAAAGTGCCCCACAGTGCCAGGACAGTCTTCCTCAAAGCCAAACAGAAAGGTTGGGGCCTGGAGGCAGAGGAGGGGGGGCGGGGGGGGGGGGGAGAGATCTCTGAGCATTTCCAGGCTCCCTAGGCACAGAGTTGCTGCAGAGGACAAGGTTGGACTATATACAGGAGGAACCTGGAAGGGAGCCCAAGTACCAGCTTTGGGGACTCCAACCCCACACTTTCTGCTCAGAGAACTATACTCTTCACCCCACCCACTGCAGTCTCCTTTCACACCCTGCTGTACCCAGACCCTTCTGGCTGGGATCCACGAACATTTGTCCATTTCTGTGCCACCCCAGATGCGGGAAGGAAAGCGGAAAGAGTAGTCAGAGAAGTTTAGCATTTGGGGGAGGCAGATGACCGGATAAGAAAACTGTCAACAGGCAGTTCAATACACCTATGACCTCATACAAGTATAAATGCCTTTTAATAGAATGCCACACAATGTGATAAGGTCAAAGACGATGAAGAGATCGTGATAGGAAAGGAGCAAGCATACGAAGGCAGCCCACGGAATAAGAGCACGTGGAGGAGGCTAAGCCTAAAACAGAAGCAGGCAGCTCAGCTCATTGTGAAAGGAACTGGAGTGTCTGTCAGAGATGTTCCCGGCACTGCTGCTACTCTCACTACCACTCCAGTAATGATGACACTATTTAGTGTTTATGACATGCCCAGCATTATCTTAACAATGTTATACATACCTATTCTCAATGAATTTTCACAATAAAACAAGCTTCCGGGATAGACACAAAGAGGAGACATCAGACAGACCTGGGGGGATTCCGGCTCACCCACCAGCAAGTTAACCTCCCCATGTGTCAGTTTCCTTGTATAGGAAATGGGTTGTGAAAATTAGACATAATGAACTTAAGTGCCTACTCGAGGCTGTTATTAGTGTAATTAATCAGATTAAAATAATCAGGAGGAAACAACAGAAGAAAGAGTTGTGACTGAGTAGAAATGGTGACAGAGAAACAGCAGTGGAAACGGGGCACACGGCACACCTCCAGTGACAAGGCTGGGACTTGGAGAGTGAACGGAGCCTGCATTTGGCTCCCTACTTTGTGTGTCTGTGGGCAATTAGTATAAATGCTGTGTTTCAGTTTCCACCTCTACCAAGTGAGAGTATTAATATCTGTCCTTCCTACATGGCAAGGTAGTTGTGCAGACCGTAGGAGGAGATGGCACCTAAGTTTATTATTACAGGCAACAAGTTTATGTAAATGTGCATATCTGGCTTGACAGATGGGGAAATCCACTTCCCCTCATTCTATTTCTCAGGTGAAATTAAAACACTCAACTAGCAGAACCATGCCAAAGCGAGGCAATTACAGAGGGCGAAGTCATCAAGCAGCATGCATCTCCTTTGGTCACCACTAACCGGATCTAATTCAGGTAATCTGACGTTGGAGGTCCACTTCAAGCTTACTTACCTCCCACAACTTCCACCCTCCCATAAAACATCCCTTCTACCTGCTTTGTGCGTCCCTCCCTACTTACATCTGTGTTTATGCCTCTCAGGATAAACTGGCCATCCTTGGAAACCCAGTGTAAATGCTTCCATTGCACAAGGAAGTGATTCCTGCCTCCCTACGCTGTCATGTTATCTTTTCTGGATTTCTCACCCTACTTAGCACTTCTCTGCATTATCATCGCTGGTGTATGTACCATCTCCTGCACTTATTGGGCTCCTCAATGGCGAGAGGCAATACATCTTTTCACTCTTAATGGAAACCTGCCTCACTGTACATACAGCACAGGACCTTTCCCAGGGCAAATGGAGAAAACTGAGGCAATAATACATAAATTTTTTGGACCTAATAACATCTGAATCATTACAGCAGTAGCTGACATATTTTAAGATAAAAAAGCATAAAGTAAAAATAATGGTAAGCACCATGCTGATAACAAAAGTTTATGTGGTGGAGGGGAATGGAGGTGAGAAAACATGATCCGGGGCTTCTGCTTTCCAAATGGGGCTTAAAGGCAGTTTGAAAGGTGGGTTGATTACTTTTAAAGATGCATCTTGCCTCACTGGCCTCAGTCAGTTAAGAAAATGCTTCCTAGAGAGTGACAGCCTCAGCCCAGAGGAGGGAGGAGACAGCGTTACTGTCCCAGCAGCAGGCACTCAGGTGTCCCTGGTCCCCTTCCATGCACCTCATCAGTCAGGTGCATGGCCAGGTCTGTATCATGGGGACGGTCAGGTCTCTCCCTTTCAGCAGCCAGGCCTCTAACTAGTTTAGCCTCCGTGCTCGCCAGCACCTCTCTCCCAGTAGGTGAGAGCAATAAATTTCAGCCCGCTGGCCTTCTCCCTCAGTAAACAGGTCTCAGCCTTGGCCAGAGAGCTGTCACACTTGGCCAATGAGGCAGAAGTAAGCAGCAAATCGCTAAGTGTGTATGGGCTAATACTTGAGGCTATTTCAAGCCCAATGTCCACTTAAGAACCCAAAGCACTAAACTGCTCCTCCCTGTGTCCTTCTTGACCAGAGGAAGTTGCTTTATCTGTCGCCCCCGCCCTGGTCCATGGAGAGGTGGTCACGACCCAGAGGTCAACTCTCCAACCCAGTCACCCTCCGGAGCTTCCCCTCCCGATTCTCCCTACCCCGCGGGTCCAACTCGCTCACCAATCTTGGCCAGGGAGGCCAGCAGGATCCACAGGGTGATCTCGAAGGGGATTTGCACATGGGGGTAATCCAGGGTGAACACTGGCAACCGGCTCTCCTCGAACGGCGTCGTCCCGGGAGCAACCACGCTCGCGGGGCTGGGCGGGCTGGAGCTAGTGCCCATGGCCCTGGGCGCGTCCAGCAGGGTCTCGGCTAGGGTGCCCGCCGGTCCGGCCACCTGCAGGAGCAGCAGCGGCAGCAGCAGCAGCAGCAGCGGCGGGGGCGCCCGCAGGCTCCGCCCGGTGCCCGCCGGCTCCATGGGCTCTGCTGCTCGCGCGCCCATGAGCCCCACGTTCGGCCCCGGGCGCTCAGCGCATCGCGCCCGGCAGCGCCGCCCGCTGGGCCCGCACAGTGCGGGGCAGCGACAGCTGCGGCTCGCCGCTGCCACCGCCGGGCCGTGTCTCTGCAGCCCACCGGCTCTGCCCCAGCCGCGAGCGGGCACGGTGCCTGGCCGGGTGCGCACCCTCGGCCGTCCTTAGCCGCCCTCCG